GGCTGCAGCAGTTGGAGCAGCAGATGCGTGTTCACGCACACAGCCGCAGGCAGGCGGCTTCATGGCAAGCGCACCGCCACGCAGAGGTAGAAGACGCGGCTTCTCCAACAACAGCAACAACCACGGACGCCAGGGACGCAACAATGGCAACAGCAACGGCAACAGCAACGGCAAAGGGCGCCGCTTCCGTGGCAACTGTCACTACTGTGGCAAGTATGGACACCGTGCAGCAGAGTGTCGCAAGAAGCAACGCGACAACGGAGCAACAGGCTTCACTGCACAGGCACAGCATCAACATGGTCAAGACGCAGCAACCTTCGTCGCTGCCACAGCTACTACACCCACGCAGCTGCATGACCCACTCACGTGGCTTGCAGACACGGGTGCTTCACACCACCTCACCTTCGTCAAGGACGCCTTCGTGGAGCTGACACCGCACCTGCAACAGCACCATCCACGCCACATCACTGCGTTTGGCGGCACACGTGTGCCCGTGCGCGGTGTTGGCTCTGTGCTGTTGCATGCACGCACGACGAGCGGAGCTACGATGCAGATTGTGCTACAGGAGTGCCTCTACGTGCCCGAGGGCCAGGCCAACCTCATCGCCCTCGGTCGTCTGACTAGGGACAGTAGCGGCAGGCCAACGGGCCACTCGCAGCGTGATGGCGCTGATGGGCACTACGTGCGCTTCAGCCACGGAGCCGAGGTCAAGCTGAAGGAGCGCAGCAGCCTCCGATGCTGGCCCATTGTTGCTGTTGGTCCATCCACGGCACACGGTCTCACTGCCGATGCCTGCAAGCAACCACAGCAACCCACAGCAGCTCCTGCAGCCCAGAGCAAGGCGCAGACACCATCGATGCATGAGGTACTTGGCCACCGCAACGACAACGACGTGCAGCAGTACTGCAAGCTGATGGGCATCGATGATTGCAACGCCATCAGCAGCAAGCAGTGTACAACGTGCGCAGTGACCAAGAGCACTCGTCACAGCGTCAGCAAGCACGCGGAGCGCACACAGGTGCCCGGCGAGCGCATCCACGCCGACATCGTCGACTGGACCGCGGACTCACCCACGGGCAAGCGCTACAGCCTCGTCATCGTCGATGAGGGAAGCAAGCTCCTGCATGCAGTCCATCTCAACGCCAAGAAGGACGCAGTTGCCGCGTTCCAGTCTTTCCTGCGCGAGACCAAGCTCCCCATCTCGCCCACAACAACAGCACTCCAGACGGATTCCGATGCCATCTTCCTCGGAGCTGACTTCCAGGCCATCGTCAAGAAGCACCTGAAGCAGCACCAGCAGTCCCCGCCGTACACCCAGGCGCAGAACGGCATCGTCGAGCGACAGGTGCGCACCCTCTCCGACATGGTGCGAGCCATGATCACGGGTGCAGGCCTCGACGCATCGTACTGGAGCCTCGCCTGCAACCACGCCCTGCACATCCTCAACAACATGCCTCGCCCTTCCCTCCACGGCAAGACACCGCTGCAAATTGTCACGGGCTCGCTGCCCAAGCACGTGCCACAGCTGCACGTCTTCGGGCAGCCGGCCGTCGTCCACATCAGCACACAGCGCGGTCGCCTGCAGCCCAAGGGTCGTCGAGGCATCTACGTCGGCCACAACAGCAGCAGCAACAGCCACCTCGTCTACTTCGCAGACACAAACACCGTTGTGTCCTCCATCCACGTCCGCTTCCTTCCCTTCTCCAAGGCCGATGATGTCGTGGATGAGGGGGAGGAGCAAGTGCAGACATCCACGACATCGTCCATGCTCCAGCTTCCCAGTGCACGTGACAGCAGCAACAGCACCACTGACGGTGAGCCACCAACGGTTCACATCGACGAGGACCAGGACGAGGATGTCGAGACAGACTTCCTGCTCACGGACTTTGACGCCGACAGCAGCAGCGACACCAACGACGCCAACTACGATCCAGACACAACAGATGCAAGCGACACGGAGGCAGGCGCGTTCACAGCAAGCAGCAGTGGCGACACCAGCCTCACGGAGCCTGCAAGCATCAAGCAGGCACTCAAGAGCCAGCAACACAAGCAGTGGACTCAGGCATGCTTGGAGGAGATCGGGGCCATGGAGCGCAACGGCGTCATCAAGCTCATCCCACGCAGCGCCGTGCCACGGCAGCACACGCCTCTCAAGTCACGCTTCGTCTTCAAGGTGAAGCGTGATGCTGAGGGCGCGCCGACGCGCTTCAAGGCACGCTGGGTCGCCAAGGGCTTCAGCCAACGACCGGGCATCGACTTCGACCAGACCTACGCCCCAACACCAGCAGCCAAGACCATCCTCACTGTGCTCGCCGTCTCCCTGCAACGACAGCACCAGCTGCACCAGCTCGACTTCAAGTCGGCTTACCTGCAGGCTGATCTCAAGGAGGAGCTGTACATGGAGCTGCCGCCGCACTTCACCGACATCGGCGACGGCGCCCAACGCTACGCGGGCAAGGTGTGCCGGCTGCTCAAGCCGC